AAACCCCAAAAAACCAAAACCCCAAAACCTAGTATGAAGGACGTTGGGGAAAGCGGCCTCCTCTACGCCGGGCTCCGGGGTTTCGCCATGGACTTAGACGGTTGTCGGGCTTTCTTCGTGCGTTGTAAGGGTTTTGTAAAGTAAAGGCGTCCGGATTTCTGGTTTAATTAGGGCTTCATGCTTTTGGGATTTCGGGCTTTGGTGACGATTTTGTCTAAACTCTTAAACCCGAATTATAAACCCTTACCCTTATCCCTTATGGTACCCTTAAGGGCTTTTGGTTTAAGGTTTAGGGTTTAGGGTTGGCTATAAGGTTGTCGGGGCCTAGCAGCGAATATGGAGAAGGCGATGCCTGCGAATGCGTCGTGTCACGCCATGCTTTTGCCTCCACACTATACGGGCAACCCCTAAGCTCTAAACCCGCGATGCCCGAAATCTCTGGGCCCTGACCCAAGGATCCGGTACATCTGAAATCTCGGAATCCTCTATAGCAAATCCTGTATTGAACCTTCTGAAAACTCTGAATTCTGTCCAAGATCCTACACTAAGCCTTGCCTGAACTCTTCAAACCCTTATACAGAGCCCTACACAAAGATCTGAATCACGGAAACATGACCAATATGGGGGTTTCCGAAAATAGGGGACCCTAATATAGTACCCTAAATAGTAGGATCCTTATTATAGACCCCCAAATAAGGTACCCTAATTATCGGAAACTACCATATCTTGTTACACTGTTTATACAGAGCCCTACACAGCCCTAAACCCTAAACCCTAAACCCTAGACCCTAAACCCTAAACCCTAAACCCTAATCCACAGAAACATGACCAATATCTTGTTACACTGTAGCAAGAGTCTCTTCAGTCCGGCAAAGCCTTATTGATGGCCCACGAAAGACCTGATAGGATCCCCCGTCGAAACGGAAGACGGCGAAAGCAGCTGAGGCAGTCAGCAACGACGGCGCTCAGAAGGCCACCCCAAAAGCTGGGTTTCCATGTTTGTTGCTGCATTTGTTTTTGGGTTTGCAGGGTTTAGGGTTTTTTGGAGGTGATTATGGGATGCCAAACCCGTAAACCCGGAACCTCTAACTGAAACATGGGGCTTGTTCCCAAGGTCCCTTTGAAGAATATCCCACTGGGAACATGTTTGCGAGAAGAAGGTCCTCACTCAAGTAGAACCTGCATGATTTCATGTTGGCGACAGGTCTTTCAGCAACGACTGAATAAGTCCTATCCCCTAACCCCTAAACCCTGAACCCTGAACCCTGAACCTATACACCATAAAGCTTAATGAGCAGCTCGGGGTTTTTACAACATCTTCAACCCACAGGGCGTATCTGGATCAGCCAGAAACAGTTCTTCGCTGGTGATAAGGGGAACTGCTATACAACCCCGACATTACTTGCATGGTTTTTGAAATGTCATGTTGGGTAGACCCGAAGATATGAAACCTGGAGCCTAAGCTCTAGAAACAAATCCCTGCAACTAAACGCCCTAAATGCTAAACGGGGGCTTGGGGTTTACGAAACCTGTTCCCCTAAATAACAAGCGTCCGCAATAGTGTAGACTTGAAACTTATGTCAAAACCGGCTTCGAACCCTGAAGCCTCAAACCGCACGCTCATCAACACCTGCGGTTTATGGGGCTTAGGGGTTTAGGGTTTAGGGTTTAGGGGTTTAGGGTTCAGGGTTTAGGACTTTGGGTTTTAGGGTTTAGGGTTTAGCTTGTAGGCCAGACGCTTTGTGCTAAAGGAGGCTCCCACTCCAGTGAACGAGGAGCTAGATAGATCGGAGCTGCGGGATCGAGCTGCGGAGTTGGATGGAGAGGTCTTCTCGGTCTCAGACATAGAGCCGGACGGACCCAAAAACCCTAAACCCTAAACCCTAAACCCTAAACCCCTAAACCCTAAACCCTAAACCCTAAACCCTAAACCCCTAAACCCTAAACCCTAAACCCTAAACCCTAGCGGAATTCTCAAGATGTCTTGCCAAGAGATGGCCCTGCAAAGCCAAACAAACCGCCAGACCCAATTCTTCACATTTGGGGGGATGGCAAGGGCAAATCGGAAGAAGCCAACGTTGCCACACCACTTCTTGCCTCCGGAAATCGTCTTCTATAAGAACAGTGCCGGGGGGGTCATAGACATGCCCCAGGCCATTTCGGCCCTCGGCCGTGGACAGACGAGGTGCACTTATGTGGCGGCGCCTGGCGGGCTGGTGCTGAAGTTGACGACGCATGCCAGGGATCACGGGGACCGCTTATAATTCTTGCATATAGGCCCTTAACGTAAAGAACCGTAATAACATGTCATGAAAGTTTCTAGAATGCCTAAACCCTAGACCCTACACTCCGAACCCGAAACCCTGAACCCTAAACCCTTGTGTAAGCCTCGACCGAGGCAGGCTTTGCGGAGAAAAGGCCACTACACATTAAAAAAAAAAAAACCCTAAACCCTAAGCCCTAAACCCTAAACCCTAAACCGGAGGCCGGCTACGCGGCGCCTTCGTCGAATGGCCGCCTTCTCGGAGATGGTGCAGGGATATACAGGGTCAGGTTTTAGGGTGTATTCTTCAGTTTTTTTGGAGTTTAGGAGGGCGTTAGGGGTTTAGGGTTTAGGGTTTGTTTTTTCAGTTTTGTTCTTTCAAACTTGGAGTTTAGAAGGGTCTCGATAGGATTGTGTGGGATTTAGTAACCCTAAACCCCCAAACCCCCAAACCAAAATGAGGTTTCACAGGGTTTCGGTTTAGGTTTGTCAGGCTTCGCTAAGGGCTCATGGTTTGCAGTTGGGGCGTCCCAAGGAATGATCCTATTTAGAGGAGAGGGGGATTAGGATTTAGGGTTTAGGGTTTAGGGTTTAAGGGTTTAGGGTTTCGGGTAATGATTCAGGGTTCACGTCACTCGGCCTATTTCACATTACCCTAATTCCCTGAAGCCTTGAACTCTCTAGCCCAGAAACCTAAGACCCGAGACTGCACACTCGAAACCCTAAACCTCCAAAAGCCCTGACAAACTCGGCACAAGTTCAAATCGCCGAACGACCCCCAAAACCGTCCAAGCCAAACCATTTTTTCTGCAGACTTTCTCACGTGTCGGCTGCTGAAACAGTTCAACATCTGGGAAAGTTGCATCCGGAGACGCAGTGCGCTGCGCTACGGAGGGTAAAGGCGCCGTCCGACTGAGGCCGGAGTTGACAAGGCAGTCGACCGAACCAAGTGGTTCGACAAAGATGTGCGCGCGCTTTTCAAGTGCTGCGTGTTGATCGAGATCAACCAGGTCGCTGTGAAAGCCGTGTTGGAGAAGTCCCCAAGTGGGGGATCGCTGATCAGGCAATGGGCTTTGACACAGACTCCGCGAGAGCTGCGCTAGGACGATGCGCCTGGGACGTCAACAAGGCCCGCAGCCGAACGTGGCTTGTTGGAATAAGTTGGAATCGATGGTTCAGACAGCGAAGATCATCTACTGGTGCTCTCTCCGCAAAGGCTCTGGAGAGCCTACAGGCTGCTTGTGAGATGTGACAAGGTCAGAATTTGTTTCTTCGAACGATTGTCGATTTTGCGGGCTCGAGGCCGTAGGACTCTTCCGGAGAGCATCGAAACAGCTGTAAGACACCCATGGATTGGAACCACGATACCCAAAAAAGGAGCTTGCACGACCCAGGTTCAGATCTCAGTAGGCTATGGGGGTTGTTGTAGGTTTTATTGGAATGGAAGTAACAGTTCAGTCCTGGGGCGGCAGGGTGTTTGTTTTTTTTGTTTGTGGCCCCGCCGGGTGTTTTTGGATCCGATGTGGTAAACCAGACATTTCTTGTTATGGGCTCGCCGGGTTCGGCCGGCCCACAACAAAAAGCAAAGCACTCCGGACGCCCCGCGGGGCAGACCGCAAGAACAATCCGAGGGACCAGCGACACGGAGGCGGAGCAAAACGGGGCCACAACAACAACACGACAACACCCTGGCCAGTGCTGGGGACGTAGACCATAAACCCTACCTTAACCCCAAAGAACCTACCTTTCTAAGGACTTATATAAAGAAATCATAATAAGGGGCCCTACAAAGGTAGGTTCTTCAGGGTCCAGGTAAACCCTAAAGCTTTTGAGGGCTTCGGGCGGCGCGAGGGTTTTGCAAAGGTGTGAGGTCGAAGGTGTAGGGCTTGGGCTGTCGGTTCAGGGTGAAGGGTGGGGGGTCTAGGATTGTGGTGACCTTGGGAGTATATAGGGCTTGGGATCTAAATTTGAGGGGCAAAGGGGTTAGAGACATCATATCTTACTCCGGAGCCTGACCCTCGGTTGAAACCCTTCGCCCCAAAACTTAAACCTAAACCCGGGAGTGTGCGATCCTACACGCAAATACCTCTCCGGCTTGGTGAGCTCATCTCTCCCTAGAAAGTCGAATGCAAGTAACCGAACCTGCCTTCCAGACAACCCCTTCCTTGCTGGTGCTTCAGGAAGAGTTGAGCTAGTAGCACAAGGACTAGTGAAAGGGGCTATACAGGGACAACTGTGGGGATCTGCTCTCCCCCGTAAGCAGCAGTAAGATTGTGACCACTATGTTCGGCTTCCAGGTCAAGCCAGGGCCATCCAGGTAGCCATGAACATGCTCGGGGAGGACAGTCATGGATTGAGGGCTTGGGATTCAGGATTCCCGCAGGCTTTAAGGGCCATGTGAGAGCCCTAAACCCTAAACCCC